GGCCTCCCAGAGTGCTAGGATTACAGGCATGAGCCACCGCGCCCGGCCGACTTTTATATATTTTTGAAATTGAACTTAAATGGTTTGTGTAATAAGAAAAAACAAAATTTACTGTAATTTAAATAATTTAAAAAACAAAATCTACTACCTCATGCTAAACAAAATTGGGAGAACACATTTTGATGAAGGTTCTCTACCATGAAGATTTGCCAAACAGAAGGTAATTTTTTTTTTTTTTTGAAACAGAGTCTCTGTCACCCAGGTTACAGTGCCCTGGCATCAGCCTAGCTCACAGGAACCTCAAACTCCTGGGCTCAAGCAATCCTCCTGCCTCAGCCTCCTGAGTAGCTGGAACTACAGGTGTGCACAACGACACCTGGCTAATTTTTCTATTTTTAGTAGAGACAGGGTCTCACTCTGACTCAAGTTGTTCTTAAACTCCTGAGCTCAAGCTATCCTTCCGCCTCGGCCCCCCAAAGTGCTAAGATTATAGGCGTGAGCTAACACACTCGGCCCAGAAAGTGAGCTTTATTGCTCATTAAGATGCGTTATTTTTCAGAAGAGGCCTTGTGACTATATATCCACTTACTTTTTTGGCAAAGAGATGAATCATTATTAGCATAAGATTATGGTTGATATTTTATATATATATATGTGTGTGTGTGTGTGTGTGTGTGTGTGTGCCTGTATAGTCCAGTGGCCTTTGAGGAACATTCTTGTTCCAATCTGTCCTATCATGGACTCACTTTCTCTCTCTCTCTCTGTCTCTCTCCATATATATAAATTCATATATATATATACATATATATATATAAATTCAGCCAATACTTTATTGAGCACCAACTATGTACCAGGCATTGTGCAGACTGGAGATAACTGGATGACAAGACACATGGTCCCTGACCTCAAAGAATCTACAGTCTAGACATAAAAACATACACAGAAATAATTACAATACAAAGTAATTAAGTGCTTCAATAGGCTGAGAACAAAGGACTGCAGGGCCAACAAGACTGAGATAAAGAAATTCTGCCTGGCCGGGCGCGGTGGCTCACGCCTGTAATCCTAGCATTCTGGGAGGCCGAGGCGGGCAGATTGTTTGAGCTCAGGAGTTCGAGACCAGCCTGAGCAAGAGCGAGACCCCGTCTC